GCTTCTATGCACGGCTGGACTATTGTTTTTGGATGACCTTCGTATCCGTTTTTACGACACTCTTGCTTACATCCACGCCTTCAAAACGGGTTCCCTTTCTAATCAACTTGAGCTTGAAGAAAATTGAAAAAAATCGCATAGATCAGGTGAATTGAGAGGTTGTTCCAATACGCCGATGTTTTTTCTCGGCTAGGAACTGCCGAATGCTCATGGCGTTGTGAGCAGGTGCATTGACGTGGTGAAGCTTGTGAAAAAAATGCAGTGATTGTAGAAAACTAAGATTACAGTTATCCCGCTTTCGCACAAAAAGTCACACGGCACGCCCAGTCCGTTACTTTTTCAGGCAGACCTCATATATATATATATATATATATATATATATATATATATATATATATATATAGTTAAATTCCCAGATCAATTCTGTGGACAAAACAAATTGGCATAAAATGACAATTAGAAAAAAAAATCTTAGATTTTTCCGACGAGTTTCAAAGCAAAAATGAAATCGAAATGTTTTTGTTATTATAGTTACATTAAAAAATTCAAATTTAAAAAGATTCTGTCTAAGCCTTTTTCTGGTTAATGTAAATTTGCTTTATACTAAGAGATTTTTTTCTCCATGTCGACAACAGAGTTAAATTCCCAGATCAATTCTATGGACAAGACAAATTGGTATAAAATGACATTAACCGTGAAAAGGCTTAAACAGAAGCGTCTATCTTTTTGAATTTTGATTGTTTAATGTAACAAAGACATTTCGATTTCATTTTTGCCTTGAAAAATTCGGAAGACGAAACGCGTCGGAAAAATCAAAGATTTTTTTTCCAATTGTCATTTTATACCATATATATATATATATATATATATATATATATATATATATATATATATATATAAAGTCGTTTGCAGCCACTTCCTAAAGGCCGATATTATCGGGAAGTCACTTCCCTGAGTCTCATGGTCGGAAGGCATACGTTCTTACCATCAGCCACACGCACACTTTTCTAGAAACGGAATTATGTAGATACACACACACACGCACGCGCGCGCGCGCACACACACACACATATATATATATATATATATATATATATATATATATACAACTCTATATCTGTTTCGCTCTGTGTCTCTGTCTCTCTCTATATATACAGTTATGCACAGAATTATTCACACACCTCTCCCATAATTAGAAATAAAACTGCCATACCTCAACTTTTCATAGAAAATTCATATGCATTTTTTCACAAATGATGAAATAATAGATTTGAAAGAATGTGCAGTGGTGCCTACATTTTTATTTTAATGTCACAGAAACCAGAGCGAATTCGACTTTAAAGTATACAGAAAAGGTACCAAGAAAACGACCTGGTCAACTTCTACTTAAACCAGTCCTATAAAATTAAATCTTGTATAATATGTTTCTACTTAAGACCATTAAGAATTTGTAGTTCCCAATACTTACCCAAAAAACACACATACAAAACACATTCAAAAACCGACAATATCTTTATTACTTCATCCACAGCGCAAAGAGAAAGGCATAAAAAATACACAACCGCAAAAAATAATAACATTATCCACAATAATAAATTAAACAAAAGCAGATATAAAATAATACCTACCAAATCCATAACATCCACTATCCGGAACAACTTATCCCATCTAATCAACCCCCAAATAGTCACAACTACTTCCAAATCCTTTATGGATATACTCAAAACAAACTAAAAACATGCATAAAATAATATTTCAGAAGCATGCATATATAAAATAAATTGCCAAGACTGTTTCTCACAATACATTGGGGAAACATGCAGAAATGTAAAAAAAACGTATCTATGAACAGAAGAAGGGACTTCATAAATAACAATTTAACAAATTCACTAGTCATACAAAGAAATAAATTCGACCATTTTTTTCATCTAAAAATGCCACACTCATCAAAAGAGAATGTAATTCACGCAGAAGGAAAATTTTCGCGAGTGCCACCATTGAATATTATCAAAATATCAATCTACGCCTCGGTTTTTTCCCAATCTCTCCTTTCTTGAAAGAATTACTATTTTCCAAAGCCAACATACAAAACAAAATGTCGAAAAATCAAAAGATGGTTAAATCCATCACTTTAGCCTTTGAAAATGTACAGTACATACGTCCATCTAATCACAATCCAAACAATATTCATTAAAAAGAAAATGAATATTACTCACCCAATATACTTTTCACTAGACTTTGAATTAGGGCCCTTTGTGCCGTCCACATGCTTTCGCTGACCTTTCAACCACCTGATGAACATGCATAAACGTTCTCACATTTAAAAGCTGTGATAAAACAAACGCATCCTTGCCTCTGTGTATATAAACCATACATTGTCTTGATAAACTCCCTCAAAGGACGAAACGCTTCGGCTATGTATAATATTTTCTTCTTGTCTCTTTCATTTTGTCTCTACAGATACACTCCATCTGAGAATATATATATATATATATATATATATATATATATATATATATATATAACCATATCTATTCATATGCATATATATGTGTATGTGTGTGTATGTATGTGTGTGTCCTTACATGCGCATTTTCCTTTCATCCCAGGAGGAAATCAAGTCCGCTTTTCTCTTCCTTTTTTCTAATTGCATTCTCTCTAATTACAAAGAACTTATTTTCGTCCCAATTCTTTGAAATTGTGGTATTAAATAAAGGATACACTAGAATAGGAACATTATGTCTCTTTATGTTTCTCTTTCGATTTATTTATTTACTTTTTGGTTTAACTATTTTAAAAAACACGAGCGTTTTCAGTTTGGCCTCTGCAATGTCTTTATTGATCATAACACACTCTCTATCTTCGACGGCCTTCTTTCTTTCTCCTTCATTCTTCCATAGTTTTCTTTCTTTATCCTTCATTCTCCGACGATCTTTTATCTTTCCTTTTCATTCTTCGATTGCTTTCTTTATTTCTCCTTCATTCTTCCATAGTTTTCTTTCTTTATCCTTCATTCTCCGACGATCTTTTATCTTTCCTTTTCATTCTTCGATTGCTTTCTTTATTTCTCTTTCATTCTTCCATAGTTTTCTTTCTTTATCCTTCATTCTCCGACGATCTTTTATCTTTCCTTTTCATTCTTCGATTGCTTTCTTTATTTCTCCTTCATTCTTCCATAGTTTTCTTTCTTTATCCTTCATTCTCCGACGATCTTTTATCTTTCCTTTTCATTCTTCGATTGCTTTCTTTATTTCTCCTTCATTCTTCCATAGTTTTCTTTTCTTTATCCTTCATTCTCCGACGATCTTTTATCTTTCCTTTTCATTCTTCGATTGCTTTCTTTTTTTCTCCTTCATTCTTCCATAGTTTTCTTTCTTTATCCTTCATTCTCCGACGATCTTTTATCTTTCCTTTTCATTCTTCGATTGCTTTCTTTATTTCTCTTTCATTCTTCCATAGTTTTCTTTCTTTATCCTTCATTCTCCGACGATCTTTTATCTTTCCTTTTCATTCTTCGATTGCTTTCTTTATTTCTCCTTCATTCTTCCATAGTTTTCTTTCTTTATCCTTCATTCTCCGACGATCTTTTTATCTTTCCTTTTCATTCTTCGATTGCTTTCTTTATTTCTCCTTCATTCTTCCATAGTTTTCTTTCTTTATCCTTCATTCTCCGACGATCTTTTTATCTTTCCTTTTCATTCTTCGATTGCTTTCTTTATTTCTCCTTCATTCTTCCATAGTTTTCTTTTTTATCCTTCATTCTCCGACGATCTTTTATCTTTCCTTTTCATTCTTCGATTGCTTTCTTTTATTTCTCCTTCATTCTTCCATAGTTTTTCTTTCTTTATCCTTCATTCTCCGACGATCTTTTATCTTTCCTTTTCATTCTTCGATTGCTTTCTTTTATTTCTCCTTCATTCTTCCATAGTTTTCTTTCTTTATCCTTCATTCTCCGACGATCTTTTATCTTTCCTTTTCATTCTTCGATTGCTTTCTTTATTTCTCCTTCATTCTTCCATAGTTTTCTTTCTTTATCCTTCATTCTCCGACGATCTTTTATATCTTTCCTTTTCATTCTTCGATTGCTTTCTTTTATTTCTCCTTCATTCTTCCATAGTTTTCTTTCTTTATCCTTCATTCTCCGACGATCTTTTTATCTTTCCTTTTCATTCTTCGATTGCTTTCTTTATTTCTCCTTCATTCTTCCATAGTTTTTTTCTTTATCCTTCATTCTCCGACGATCTTTTATCTTTCCTTTTCATTCTTCGATTGCTTTCTTTTATTTCTCCTTCATTCTTCCATAGTTTTCTTTCTTTATCCTTCATTCTCCGACGATCTTTTATCTTTCCTTTTCATTCTTCGATTGCTTTCTTTATTTCTCCTTCATTCTTCCATAGTTTTCTTTCTTTATCCTTCATTCTCCGACGATCTTTTATCTTTCCTTTTCATTCTTCGATTGCTTTCTTTTATTTCTCCTTCATTCTTCCATAGTTTTCTTTCTTTATCCTTCATTCTCCGACGATCTTTTATCTTTCCTTTTCATTCTTCGATTGCTTTCTTTATTTCTCCTTCATTCTTCCATAGTTTTCTTTCTTTATCCTTCATTCTCCGACGATCTTTTATCTTTCCTTTTCATTCTTCGATTGCTTTCTTTATTTCTCCTTCATTCTTCCACCGCTTCTTCCTTTCGTCTTCATTCTTTGATAGATTTCTTTATTTCTCCTTCATTCTTAAATAGTCTTCTTTCTTTCTTGCTCCTTCATTTTGCAGCCAACTTTTTCTATCTCCTTCATTCTTTTTAAAACTTCTTTCTTTCTCAGTCATTCTTCAACGGCTCTCTTTCTTCCTCGTTCTATCTTCGTCGACATTGTTTCTTTTCCATTCTTCGGCTTTTTTTCCTTCTCAGTCAATTTTCAACGATTTTATTTCTTTTTCTTTCATTCATCGACTGCCTTCTTTCTTTCTCTTTCATCTTTCGAAAATCTTACTTTTTCTTTCCTTTTTCGACAGCCATTTTTTCTTTCTCTTTCATTCTTCGATGGTCTCCTTTTTTTTTCTTCTCCATTCCTTGAAGCTGTTCCTATTTATCCACCCAGATATATTACGACCTTTTCAATGCAGTGTGTGTTTTTTTTTGTTTTAATTTAAATTTAGCCGAAGTCAGTGTTCCGCAGAACGTGGCTATTGATATTTTAATAGAAGCGAATATTATTTACATTGTATGAAACATTGCTTACATTATCAGTAAAGGTTAATTTGGTTATATTATATATATACTAGCACAGTCCTCGTAAAGATTTAGTATTTGTATATGGATCGGCACTTCATATAATCGACATTCAGGCTGGCACCAAAGTGTAGTATCTGTTCATTTTATCTCTGTCTTCGGACAGTTCGCAGAAAAGCTCAGATGGATGCCTGGTTCCGAGGATCCCAACCCTGTAGCAACACCTCTGCCAAGCACTAAAGAGAAAGAGTTGGTGGATAGTGACGCCATTACAACAGTCGTCGAGGGGACCGTTCTATTTTTATCCTTGGTACTATTTGTCCGTGCCTTGAATAGTGCTGCCATATCTGGTTTGATGCTCTTGCTATATATCTTGAGATTCTCGCCAAAACCAGCTTCCCTCTGGCCTTTTTTTAATAAATATTTACATGACTGTTGCTCCAGCAAGCTCTCCTCATTGTTACCTTGACTGTATGAATTTATGCGTACTAGATTGGCAGCTAGGTCTCATCATTTTACTCTTGAAATAGCTAAATGTAACCGTAAGTTCTATTCTAATAGTTTCTTTTCTTGCACTTCTTACTTGTGGAACTCTTTTCCAGTTTCATACTCCCCTGCCACCTATTCAAAAATTCAAATGCAATGTCAATCGTCATTTTCTGCTTTTCGAAATCCTCTTCTTTTATATGTCCTTTTTTTTTCGTCACTTACATCTTCTCATCTTCTTTTTACTCTCGGTAATTCCTTAGTGGCTTTATTGCCTTGCATGGGGTGAAATGGTTATATATATATATACTAAACTGACGGAAGAAGGAATGTATTATATTGTAAGTAATTTTCGTTTAATCCTAGTACAATTTTGTAATTTAAAATAGTTTGTTGTTAACGTTAATAATTGAGTAATCCTAAATTCAATCTGTAATTTCAAAGTTTGCTTATTTCTCGTCCTACTATGAGCAACGTATCATCAGATGTTATTGTCTTCCCGATTGTATACAGAAGTTTTTAGCAAATTTGCCGTAATGCTATAAAACTGCTGTATACAACCGCTTTTTAAGATCAATGGTAAAAACTGGCTATGAGCAAATGAAGCATGAGGATCTTATCGAATGCCCTTCTTCTTCGAAAGTTGTGGACTGACGCTACAGAATAAAAAACAAAGAACTGTACCAAATAACAGAAACCACATCACTTGAGGACTTTCAACAAGGCAACTGCTAAGATGGATAGCTCACGTAACTCGAAGAGAAAATAATGGCATCATCAAGATGTTGAAATTTCACACTAAAAGGTTAGGAAGGAAACCCCCATCAATACCGGAAGGAGCGATAACAACTGGACTTGAGAATCCTATTTTCCCTTAAAAATCTTAATAGAAAGATTTTATAAATTTTAACTGAAAGCAGTAATGGCTGCTCGGTCAATGAATTCCAAATGTTTCCTTGTAGGGAAACGGTTGATATTACCATTACCTTTAGAGATTAGGAGAACAGATACTACACTTTGATTCCAGCCAGGGAGTGAAGAAATGTGTAAAAAGAATACCACTGGCTGCTCGGTCAATGAATGCATAATGTTCCCCTGCCATTACCATCTTGATGTTTTATTTGTTTTCGGGCAGTTCACAACGAAGCAGTGAGGGAAGCCTAGCTCTGGATATTACAAACTCGAAATAGTATCTTTTTTTTAATAATGTCTGCACATTACAAGGCTCAAGAGTCACTCAAGATAGAGGCTTACTAAATTAAGTGTGTGATTTTAAATAAGAGGGGGAAAGAAGTGAAAATTATGAAGTTAAGGGGGATAGATAACGATTGACCCTTGAGTTTAATGTCACTAAAGAATAACAGCCAGGGTTATTTAACGACTGGGTGACAGTGATCGCGAGCACCGAGACATTTTTTTATATGTACGCATATTGGCGCCGACCATTTGTTATACCCTACCTCACTTGGTAAAATACCTACATCATTATCCGCTTGTTTTATATATATATATATATATATATATATATATATATATATAGGGAAGTAGGGCAGTGTAAAATATTGTTTTCATTCTCTTTAAATCTTCAGGTGATACCTATGCTTGCTTGCCTACACTAACGCTAACATTGTCTGGACAGGCTCTGCAATGATTCCTAGTACTCCATTTATTATGAGTATGACAGTAACCTTCAGGTTCTGCAGCCTATCACCTACCAGGCGGTGGATTCTGTTAGTTGTCTTTTTTTTCTTCTTTTTTTCACGGTTTCTTTATCGTCGACGTCTTGACTGCTGGAAAAGACATTCATTTATTCTTTGTAGCAACAACCAACGCCAGTGTATGTTGCCTGAATGCGGGGGGTGGTCATTGCGATCTCAAATTCTTATCCATTATTATTGCCTATTCAAAAGGCAGCAGTAATACCCTGTGGACGTCGACACGAGTCAAGTGAAAGCAAGACTAAAAAAACATCCGGTAATTATCTCAAATATAACAAATGGTCAGGATTAACCTAATCCTTGAGATTTGGGTGATTTTATTCTTGTTTCTATTTTTTGCATTTTGATTGCTTTTGAGTTTTTTCTTCTTACTTCCCATTCGTTTCATCCGTTCTTTCAATGCCAGTGTTTAAGGAAAACACAATTAAGCTCCATTTAAACAAGGCTTAAAATAGCACAAAATCTTTAATAAATTTTACTATATTTCCTTCGTCTATATTTCCGCCATTACAGTCGTATAGACAATAAATATTGTTTTTATTAATAATAGCTGATATAAATCCAACATATTGCATTGTAATGTAGCAACAGAATTCATAGTATTAATAAGATATAAAATATTAGATCCTATGAATTAAGATTATATTAAAACCTATAACAAAGATGGACGAAGCCAGACACATGCTACTGAGCTGAAATTTGACCTGAAATGTTAGATAATAAACAGGTGATATATATATATATATATATATATATATATATATATATATATATATATATATATATATTATATAGAAGGTTAATTGTCAGAGTTGACTCAGACCAGTAAACAGTGGTATTAAAACGTTCTCAATACACGTGGGAAAAAAAATAAAGTAAAAAATACCGTGTAGAGCTTTTAACTTTAAAAATAAGGATATCAGTTGAATCTGCTACCTTGGTTCAACCTTATCGCATCTTCAAGCGATTTTTATCATATGACCTCTTAACTATATATATATATATATATATATATATATATATATATATATATATATATATATATATAGGTAAGATGAGAACAAATAGAGTACAATTCCAACGTTCGTAACATTTAATTTAAAAGAGGACCAATACAAAATCGAGCACTTTATTTTAGGCTATTTCATCGAAAAACATGTTAAAAATCACTACACAATTGTAGTCGTGTTTCGTCTCATGAGATGCATTCATATGCATCGAAACACGACTGTAATTGTGTAGCGATTTTGAAGTTTTTCGGTGTAATATCCTAATATATATATATATATATATATATATATATATGAGAGAGAGAGAGAAAGAGAGAGAGAGAGTCGAAAGCAGTCGAAACGAGCAATCTTTTGGACAATTTCTATCATCATAATATTACAAAAAGAAATCTCTTTTTCTCCTACCATAAAATACAATAGAAAGCTTGCTAAAATTATTTGTCAGTCATTTTATGAAACATGTATCTAGATATATATAAATCGCCTCTTGTCTTTTGAACAGGAGTAGAGGTTTATCTCCTGTTTAGGATTGTGTTTCTAGTTCGTTCTATAGTCTTTTCATTCGTTGGACCTTTCTGTCATTAAAACCTTACGTGTGGTTTTGTTTGGTTTGGTTTGGTTTGTTTTACGACATATCAATCTGAATGGGTTATTTAATGCCGACAAGATTATTACTGCTGGTAATATTTTTTTATCAAAAATATATTGCTTGTAATATTTTTTTTTTTAAATGAATTGCTGGTAATATGTTTTTTCAAAAATATATTGCTGATAATATTTATTTTCAAAAATGTTTTGCTGGTAATATATTTTTTCAAAAAAATTATTATGGTTATATTTCTTAATGTATTGTTGGTAATAATTGTTCTTCTTCAAAAATTTATTACTGGTAACATTTTTTTACAAAAATGTATTGCTGATATTAAAACCAATTTTTACACATTCATAGTGTTTTGACCCCAGTTTGGGGTTAACTATTTGCTTATAGCTAGGACCCTAACACTTGCTACTACCCCGGGTCAGTGTGGACCTTGTAACATAAGCAATTAAGATGTGGTTCCACGCTCCACAAAACCTCCTGTTCAAAGACCTTGCTCTCAGGTGTAGTTTATCCTATTACCCAGGATGCTGATGTAGTTTATCGTCATACCCAGAATGGCATTGTGTGTGGTGAATTGATTATATATATATATATATATATATATATATATATATATATATAATCTTTTCACCCCTACAATACAATTAAGCCACTCAGACGTGTGAGTTACTGAACATGAAAGAATATAAAATAACACACACACACACATATATATATAGAGAGAGAGAGAAAGAGAGAGTGATAGAGAGAGACTTTGTGTGTATGTGTGTGCTTATGTTTGTGTGTGTGCGTGTTCGATGAATATTGTTCTCAAATATTAAAGACAATGTTCTTGAAATCGAATGTTTGCATTTGTTTCCATTTCAAGATATCTCGAGTAACTTTAAACGTTCACAAATATCAGTTTCATTCTTAGCAAAGCATGCACAATAACAGAAAATAGCGATGTCTTCTTCTTTTTCTTCTGCTTTTGAGTCGGCGATCATGGCTCTCCACAACTTCCAGTCTTTTGTAGCTCTGAGTAAGTTTTATAGTTTTGTCATTCATCTTCGTCCCTGATCTGCCATCCATTTACACAAGCTCGTCAGGTAGGTCATTCTCTGCTTTCCTCTGTTCCTCTTGCCTTCAATATATCCTGTTAGTGTCGAATTCTCCAAGCCCTCTTTCCACATTATCTACCTCAGAAATTTCAATTGTCCGTTTCTGATTCTAAATGTCATTTTGTTTCTATTTTTTTAAAACTTCTTCGTTGCTCACATGTTCAGTTAATGGTAGTCTCAGCATCCTCCTGTGGAACTATATTACTGTCACAAAAAGTTTCTTCTTCTGTATTGAGATTGCCTAGCAATCACTGTCATATTGGAGGGCCAGTATTGTATAAATGTTCAGCATTCTTTTCTTTGATTCTAACATAATATTTCTGTTTCTTAGGAATTGGCTTAGCTTTTGGAAGGCATATTTCAATATTCCAATGCACCTTCGGATTTTGGGGTCGTATTTTCCGTCCTTTGTTTAAATAATTAAGAGTTATTTAACTTTTTTCTAATTTCTTGATTTTTGTATCTCCTGTTTGTAGTTCGCATCATTGTTTTTTTTTGGGGGGGAGGTGCTGACAACCACTTATTTTTTTTTGCTAACAACCACATATTTTTTTGCTGACAAACATATTTTTTGCTGAAAACCACATATTTTTTTGCTGGCAACCACATATTTTTTTGCTGACAAACATATTTTTTGCCGACAATCACATATTTTTTTGCTGGCAACCAGATATTGTTTGCTGGCAATCATATATTTTTTGCTGCCAACCACATATTTTTTGCTGACAACAACATATTTTTTTGCTGACAACCACAAATTCTTTGCTGACAACCACATATTTTTGCTGACAACTACATATTTTGTCTTCTTAAATTGATGCTTAGTCCTTTCTTCTCACTTTCTTTTATTGCCTTCTCTAGGAGTTTCTGTAGTTACCATTCTGTGTTGTCTATAGACACATCCTCACCTGCATATATCTTCTGTTGCAAAGATTATGCCCGCCAATAATGTATCCTGGTAATGAAGGAAAGCGAGAAGAAAAGATTAAACCTCAATTTCAAAAAGAGCGAATTCATGATTGTTATCAAAAGGGAGAGCTCAACATGCAAATTACAGATTGGGTATACCGAAATCAAACAGGTGCAACATTCTAAATATCTGGGAAGCCTAAGATAGGATAGAAATTGTGACACTGAAATACGAAAGCGTACTGGGATAGCGAAAGATGCCTTTCAAAAGTTGAGCAAAGTATTAAGAAATAGAAAAATATCGTTAGAAACAGAGAATAGGATGCTTAACTGTTATGTATTATCAGTTCAATCTATGGCAGTAAATGCTGGACAATCTCCTCAGAGATAAGGAAGAGACCTGAAGCAATAGAAATGTTGTTCTTGATTATAGTAATACAATGCACCGAACATGTGAGCAAGCACAAAGTTCGAGAGACAGTTCCAATAAAAAAGACAGTTATGCTTAACATCAAGAGGAGACTGTTGAAGATTCTTGGGCATGAATGATGTCATGGGCCCTTACCTATAACTACAGAATGAACTCTTCCTAACATTATGCATACTACGCTTCTCAAGAAAGAGGATCGCATCAAGCCGAGCTTCTCGGCTTGACGGTCGAACTCTCTGCCTCTGAGCAGAGAGGAACCGGGACGAGGCAGAAGGGCAGTCTCGTTCGTGGAGGTTGACCAACCCGATAACGTTTATACGGGTATTTTTTGGCCGAGCCTACGGGCTCGGGAAACCGACGTTAAACTCGGCCTTGTGCCACATGCAACCCTCGTAGGGGCGGGGAGGGGCTAGATACCGAATCGAGCCAAGACGATAGTAGTTCACTCCAAACCAGACTGACAGTCATACTAACACCTTCCACATCTTGTATTATTAGTTCGTGTAATATACCTTCGTTATTTCTACTCTTGTGTTCGTGTTGTTCTTTCTTGGTCCTAACCTGGACCGTAACAAATGAGGACTTGAAAAATTTGATACTCACAGGATAAACTGAAGGTAGGCGGAAAACAACGCACAACCAGAGTTTGAGTAAATTGATGACGGAACAGGGTTTTGGAGAAATGGCAAAAAGACAAAGGTTATTAAGAGCGACAAACGATAGCCATATGTGTCGAATCATGATCGCCAATGTCCTGAAAGAAAAACCTGTCCTTTTAAAGCATTAAGACAAACTTCATTTTATTGATTGAAGGTTCTTCAATACGAATAAAATTCTAAGAAATTTCTCCAATTTTCTACACTTTCACCGATTTTACTCCAAAAATGACCTGCAAGAAAAGATATTGCAATGTTCCATTTTCATTTGGTTCTCATTTCTCTTTTGATGTCCCCTTGTCTTCTGCTGTCCCCTTGTCTTCTGTTGTCCGCTTCTCTTCTGGTGTCCCCTTCTCTTCTTGT